GTTTCCATAAGAGCTGTGTGGCCATGTCGCTTGAATTTCTTACTAATGTTTGGTATTGAAGTTCACAGACAAGTGTAAAACCTGGAAGTCTCTGTCAAACCCCATTTGTCTGGAGAAGGATTGCAATAGACTTTAACGTTTTCGATTCCATTCAATCCCCTCTATTTGTGTATAGCCCTGAGTGTTCGATTCTAGAAAGACAGATCAGAAAATCAAACCGTGCAAACACAGTAAAGGATATATTAATGCAGTGTCTCCCAAAGTGGGGTCCGCGGCCCCCTGGTGGGCCGCGAGGGTACTGCAGGGGGGCCGCGGGAGGTCATAAAAAAAATAAAAAAATAATATAATTATTTAATGTTAAATTTATAATGTTTTGTTTGTAATATTAAAATATTTGTGTTCATTATTTGACTTGAATAATCCACTGTAATCATTTTTGTATTACAATGTTTGTAGCAGAGGCTATTTCCCCAAAATAAAATAACCAGAAGAGCCTATTCTTAATGTTGTCTTCTTGGTTATTATTTTGGGGGGCCACGCAGACCCGTCAGATTTTTAAGGGGGCCTCGGTGTTACTGAGTTTGGGAATGGCTGTATTAATGCATACATAGAAGCCATTGGTCGGAGTGGGATGCAGACAGAATGTTTTGGTCTGATTTGTTAGAAACTCCGACACCACTCACTTTTTTAAAACTAAAAACATTTTTATATACTTTGGCTTTTAACCAACTTATTTCCTGCCTCTACACCTGTTTATAGTTTTATTGTATACATGTTTGTTTTTTTAATCTATGAACTAGTTTTCTCTGTGTTCTTAATAAAGAATGAATTTTAAAAAATTAATTATTAACCACTCTTTGGAGTTTTAGTTACTTTTAAATATTTGTTTTGCTGTTGTGTAACTATTAATGCCTTGTACTTTGAACTTTGAACTGTATTTGTGTCCCCCAGCTTTTAGTTAATTAAATTCAATTCATTCCTGTATTGCCCTAAATCACAACAGTCGTTATCTCAGCGGACTTATAAAGCTTAAGCGCGAATTCAGACTGGGAAGACCTGCATGCCCCAGTTCTCACCTCAAAAAGCTCTGCCAGTCTCGAGCCTCAGCCAATCTCACAGCTCGGTCAGCCCCCCTGCCAACCACTGACAGCAAAGCTGGCAGTTTCAAAGCAGCCACTTCCCACTAACCAGCCCTTCCTGAAGCTCTTGACACCCATCGCCTCCCCAGCACCTCCACGAGCTCCTGCCCTGGCTCCAGCTCTGGCTGCGCCCCATTCACACCATGCTTCTAGCCACCACCAGTGCTTGACCTCTGGGGGATCTGAGATCATCTCAGCAGCAGTGATCTACCCTCTGCAAGTGTCACTGCTGGGGTCAATGCACCAAACAATAAATCTTTCTAAATGCATTAACGTGTCTGTCTTGGTCTCTCCAGATTGAATACACAGATGCCGATCCGCCAACACAGATCAAAGAATCAAAACGTTCAAACATTGAACCAAAAAAAACACATAAAGCCATTGGTCCATGAGGAGCAGAGACCAATGTCCTTTAATGTCAATAAATGTTGTTGAACGTCGAGTGTTGTGGAGAGCTAAGCCTGGAGAATACGCAAATGGTGCTGGAGGCCACGGAAAGAGACCGAGACATGGACTAACTCTTGATTTTTAGTATAGCGCAAATCATCACATTTCTTTTAAACATCAAATCTGTTCCAGCTTGCCCACTTGTAGTCAGCAGAATCACATCATAAGTCAGGAGATGGCCTCGTGAAAAACTCATCCCAGGAATAAGACGAACCAAATAGCTTTTCCATCACCCCCATTAACTTTCTCTTTTTCCCCCAAACACTTTCCTGAACGGGAAAAGCTCTGCTGGAGGATTAGTCTTTAATGGCATCCTGGACTGAGACTCACACGACGAGGATGCTTGTTTGGTTGCCGTAGCGACCCGGAGAAAGCTAGTATTCCGTATTCCCCCTGATGTGATGCAGCGTTTGTGATGTCACCAAGTGTTTTAGCAGCGGTGCACCAGGCCACGCCACAAAGTAGGGGATCCCCGCTCCGACAACAATGAAAACAGATCCGTCAAAAGGACTTGGACAGAGATGAGAGACCACAGCGGAGTAAATATGTGATCCAATACTGGGAGAGCTCTGATTTAGAGAAGCACCATGAGCTCCAGACTCCTCTCTCTAAGGTGCTCCAAGGACAGGCTCAAAAACTCTGTTGTCCCCAACGCCATCAGGCTCTATAACAAAGCCACTTCAGGGAGGAGCAGGGGGGGATCAGGGAGGGAGGGGTCATGAGAATTGTCTTACAGTGCCATAACTTCTCTCTGATCCTAATGTATTTTATTGTCTTTTTTTATTATGTTTTTATCTTTTAACTCTATCCTATGTCTGTATGATTGCGAGCAAGGGACCTATGCAAAATGTCCTTTTTGGATCAATAAAATATATATATTTCAATCTATATCTTAATTACAAATCTTAAAGCGTAGAAGTCCATCCATCCATGTTCTTCTGCTTTATCCGTTTCCTTGAATTGACGGCCAGACAAGCGGGCGTCAAAAACGACAAAGTTTAAAGTTTTCAAAGAGAAATCAAATGCTGCTACTTTTTTAGTTTTTATATTTTAACTCTTTTTTTTTAAACAGGTTGTTTCTAGAGCTATAAAACTATCCACAAATACAACCCTGAATATGTGAATACAATGTGTTTACTCTCCTTCTCTTTTTTTAAAACAAGCCTATTACCATCAATATCCATGGCTCCAGCTAGCTTATGTTCAACTCTGCTTCCTTAGCATTTGGCTAACACTATGGTGATGTCAGCTCTCAAGCCGTATGGAAGAAGTGGACCATGTTCTCGCCTGGCACGCCTAAGAAAATTAAATCTACCTTTAAAATCAGCCATTTAAATTGGTCGTTTATCAGAAGCTATATTGATTTATTATTATTATTATTAATCTTTAAAAGAAATATGTACAGAAAAACATTTATTTTGGAGGTGATTGACTTGTAATACAATGGATACTCTACCATAGACGTTAACAGCACTTTATTGATCCCCGTAGGGCAATTCATCCTCTGCATTTGACCCATCCTGATGCCACTAAGGCTTACGTCAGGAGCAGTGGTCGCCGTAGTAACAGCGCCCGGGAACCCATCTCCAGATGTTGATGCTCGGCTTGGTCAGGACTACCAGAGCTGGAGGATTTAACCTAATGTGCATGTTTTTAGTGGTAGGGGAAACCGGAGTAACCAGAGGGAACCTACGCAGGCAAGGGGAGACCACTCAGCCACCGTGCCGCCACCATGAGGACTCTGTAGAACAATCCTTTCATACTCTGAAAATGTGACCTATTTTTTCTACCATCTTTGCATTTTTTTATTTCAATCCCAGCGTACACATGTTGTAAAACAGCCCTTAACGTTCCACATATTTTCCTCCTTGCGTCCTTATTGAGACAGACTGGTTTACTGTCTGTGTAAAGTGCATATGTGAAGACTAGTGTTGACGTAGACGCTGATGAGGTGGAGGTGCCCGGGTCTGAGTGAGGAGGGGGAAGCACAGAGGAGCCATGACAGAGGCCCCTGCTGTTTAACGAGGGCCCGTAAAACACACAACACATGTCACACTACACAACACACGTCACACTACGCACAGGCTGCAGAGGAATGCACACTCACTCACATGTCAAGAGGGAAGCAGGGCACCACAACTAACCTCTGCACATGTGAAATATTACAGCAATTCTGGGTCAGAGCACACGGTAGGCTTTAAAGCTGGGGTCTGGTCGTTGTCCTAACATAACGACCAGACCACAACACTGTCTCTATCGCATTAGAAAACATTTTTTATCATTCTCATACTTTAAAAAGAGTCCTGTGAGTTACTATCCAAAACTATGGGCTGAGATCTAAGTGAGGGTGGTCCTTTCTTTTTAACTTTTCTGTCTGAAAAAGATTATTTAAAACATGTGACAGAGCTCGAAATGATTTTTGTGTGTCTTTTATATTGTAATAACAGCAGTAGAAGCAGGGCCGTCTACAGTCATTTTGGGGCCCAGGACAGTAGAGCAAACATGGGGCCCCATAATATAAAAAATAATGTAAAACAAAACATTCTAATATATGTGTAATAATAATGAGGGATGCAGAGAAAACACTTCTCCTCATGTCAATATGAGTAGGCATACTGGAAGTTATTTTAAATACAACACAACACTTTAATACTTAGCGTTTGTATTTGTATAACTGGGGCAACTAGTGTGTGCCATCGGCCCCTCCCACCACCACCAACCATTCACACACACACCAGACTCATTCTAGGCAATGTGGGTGAAGTATCTTGCCTAAGGACACAACAACATTTTGGCACTTTACAGCCGCCCCACTGCGGCACCTGCTGTTCCCAGAGGTCTCCCATCACAGCACTAACCAGGCCCTGCCCTTCTTAGCTTCAGAGGTCTGACAGGATTTGGCTTTCACATTCAGGTGTCTCCACATACTAGCACCTTTACTTGCCTCTTTGTCGTTATCTAACATCAGTTCATCTTAAATGTATTACCTTTTCTACCGCACCTGGTTTAAATATACACAACAATAACAGAATATAATAAAAAGTGAAAAGATGACAATTCACAAAATGTCATTTAAAATAAACTCTGACTCGAGAATTATACCAAATCCTCATGTATTTGCATTTCAACAGTAAAAACGATGGCAGATTTGATTTCTCCATCCGCGAAAAAAAAACCCAGCCTTCTCGAATGACTCGGCCCAAAAACAGACGTGCTCGGTGTCGCCATGACAACCGGTAAAGTTTGCAAGGCTCACCTGGCCTTTTGACAGGGTCTTGGCTCCGCGGAGAGGGGAACGAGGCCAAGAGCGCACGGCAGAAGAAGACCGCTGAGGCTTTGATGAAGTGGAGAGAGGAGAGCCCAGTGTAGCACCAGGAAGTGTGTTTACTTATAGAGAAGGTTCTTGGGTCTTACCAGCCAGGGGTGGGGGATCTCTGGGAGGGGCATCTGGGGAGGCGCCGGGAGGCCGTTGTGGAGGTCGGATTTGAAGGAGGGCTCTGGAAAGACAAGCCCAAGAGAGACTCACTGTTATTGTCAAACAGAAATGTCCATGGGCAGCGGATAGATAGCACTCTCGCTTCTCAGCAAGAAGGTCCTTGGTTCGAATCCCGGTCAGAACAGGGTCTTTCTGAGTGGAGTTTACATGCTCTTCCCGCATCTGTGTAGGTTTCCTTCGGGCGCTCTGGTTTCCCCTACCACTAAAAAAAAAAACATGCACAATAGGTATGAATGTAATGAGTGAGTGAATGGATGGTGTTTGGTCGGAGGCTTTGATGGACCAGTGTGTTCGGCGTCTCGCTTCTGTCATTTTAGGTTTTAGAAAATCAGATATCTCAGGTGCGCACACTCACGAGAAACAGGAAGAGGGTGAAGGGGGTAAACGCATCCCATTGGTTTGTTGAGGATGAACGAATCCCTTTGGTTTCCTTTTATTGGTCTGCTCCAAAATATTTTTTATTAATTATTGGAGACTATAGACATCTGGTCAATTCCATTACTATTTGAAAACACATTAATACTTGATACTTTTAGGCTTTAGGGACGTTTTCCCACAATATTAACAAAAATGCGTCTGGCAAAAATTACTGACTGCATCTTTAAGGCTCAGGTTGTGTCTGGTTCTCTGGGAGTGGCCTCACCTTTGTCGGCCAGGACTCTCTTGAGGATGTTGGACAGATGGGTCTTCTTCTCTCTGATGCCTGCGCTGAGGTACTCCCGGTCCAGGAGGTCCAGGAAGAGACGCAGCTCCCCCACCAGCTCCTCCATGGCTGCACACAAACACACACACAAACATCACATTTACATAAGAACAAAAACAACAACGTTGTAGCGGTATTCGGAAAAGTAGTTACACAAAGTAGTTATACAGAGCAAAAAATTAGTATTGCATTTTCAAGTAATAATACATCTGATTATAAAGCGCTTTTTTGGACACTCAAAGCCGCTTTACATGTCATTATTCTTACACGGTGGTGATAAACTACTACTGTAGCCACAGCTGCCCTGGGGCACACTGACAGAAGCGAGGCAACCAGTATGTGCCATCGGCCCCTCCGACCACCACCACCCATTCACACACACCAGACTCATTCTAGGCAATGGGGGTAAACGGCAGTTTGGCACTTTACAGCCACAGACGCCCCACTGTGGCATCAGGTGTTCCCAGAGTTTAAGTGTCTTGCCAAGGACACAACAACAGCAGACAGTGGGAGTCGATGGTGAAAGTCGGGCTCGAACCCACGACCCTCTGGCTCAAAGGCCAAAGCTCTACCAACTGAGCTACTGTCGCCAAGTATTGGTTTCGGCTCATTTCATCCATGAAAAGTGCCGGTATGCAAACTCATATTAAAGTTTTTTTTTTCTGCACGCCTCATTACTACAGGAAATGTAAGGATATTTATTTTATTTTACTTAACCTTTATTTAACCAGGAAAAACCCTGTTGAGATAAACAAATAACAACCTCCAATTATTTTGTAAATTATGGGCCCCCATGTTGGCTCTACTGTCCTGGGCCCCTGCTTCTATGACTGCTATTATTGCTAGCACTGCGCCGGAGATCCAAAACAATGGCCTTTTATGCATCTACTTTTATTAGTATAATTTCAGTTCAATTAATGTATTTTTTTTAATTGCCTAAAATCAAAACAGCGGGTAACAAGGTTGTCAATTTACCAACAACAGATCAGAGCATGCAATGGCAAAGAAACTGAAATCGGAATCCGTTTAATTTCTGTCTAAAATAACACTATATTAGGTGAAGACTAGCCTGGTCGTACCACACCATAGTACAGATTTCATTACGTACTAATGTCTGGATTTGCTCCATTGACTCCGTTAACAGGTGGGAGGGGTTAACTCCTTTTGCAGATTGAAACGATTGGATCCGAGTTTACCGTGACGTACAGTATGTAATGAGCCCCCAAGTGTGTCTTTAGCATTTAGCCTAGCTTTAGCCATCTCTTTTGCCACTAACTCCGGGGACTAGTGACACAATCTTTGCCATAAATTACATTTGCCAAATAACATTCCTCTTGCTCCGGCTTCAATTTCTTGATAGAACCAGACCAGAAGACTATACTACCGCATTCTTGGCCAAACTACAACCTGCTCGTTCGACGCAAACTCTTGACCTCACTCACAACTAACTACAACACCCGCCTCCCGCGCTCGCTGATTGGTCGGATGAAATTCAACCGATTGTAATCGCAAACACAGGGACCAGACCCAGACGTTACATGTAGGAAATGATGATTGAACGTAGTGTACGGATGGATGAGGCCGGGCTAGGTGAAGACTAGCTCAAAAGGCGGGTAAAACGTGTTGTTTTGACCCACCAGGCTGTGTCCTCTCCGGGATTTTGGTTCCTGTGTTTTTGCGCAGTGCGACGTCAGAGGAAAATCGTTCATAAAACAAACCTACAAGTCATATACTATATCTGATTCGAAAAGCCTCTTCCAAAAATCCTGCTTGTTGCTTTTACCCAATCACAACATTTGCACTAAAATCGCAGGAGGCGGACATGTTGAAAACCCTTTGTCAAAGCAAAACCCTGGGCATAGGCGTGAAATAATCCTAATAAAAACATAATAAACTGTAAGTAGCTGCTATTATTTAACAAATGCATATTTTTGGTGCAGATGCGCGGCCGTACATTCTTGCAGCCGATTTATTTGTGTTTCTCTCGGCGGGACTCGCTCACGGGGAGAGAGCTGATGGTGATGAGATCTACAGCTGCTTTCACACATTCTTCACATCATTTGATCAGGCCCCAGAGCAGAGGACTGACGGCCAAGGGGAGACAGAGACCAGGGTCAATGAGGGACTTTACACCAGAAGGGAAGAGAAACCAGGGGAGAGAGACCAGCAAGAAGGGCGAGGAACCAAGGAGATAAGAGAGAGAGAACAGGAAGAAAGGAGAGGAACCAGAGAGAGGGGAGAGACCAGGGAGAGGGGAGAGACCAGGGAGAGGGGAGAGAGACCAGGAAGAAGGGCAAGGAACCAAGGAGAGAAGAGAGAGAGACCAGGAAGAAAGGAGAGACCAGGAAGAAAGAAGAGTAACCAGAGAGAGGGGAGAGAGACCAGGAAGAAGGGCAAGGGACCAAGGAGAGAAGAGAGAGAGACCAGGAAGAAAGGAGAGACCAGGAAGAAGGAAGAGTAACCAGAGAGAGGGGAGAGAGACCAGGAAGAAGGGAGAGGAACCAGGGAGAAGGGAGGGAAATAAGGGGAGAGGAGCAAAGGAGAGAGACCAGGAAGAAGGGACAGAAACAAAGAGGTAGGGGGAGAGAAACAAGGGAGAGAAACCAGGAGAGAGGAACAAGAGAAAGGGGAGAAAAACAAGGATGGCGTAACAGCCCAAGCTTTGACAGTAATAGCTTAAATCACCCAAACACAGCTCCACGGCTCGTCACGCTGTCATTATGCAAAGTATTGTGTGTAGTTGTCTAACCTTCTTCACCTCACCCACATGTAAACAACAGCCTGAGACCATTATATTGCAGTCTTTCCCGCTATATTTACCGCTAGTTCATGAGGCGGGTTAAATGCGGGTTTTGACACAGCCGCCCGTGTTGCTCAGAGTGTAAGAAAGTGTAGCGTCCTGTGAGATTGAGTCTTACAGTTTTGGTGTGTTATGTTTTTAAAAAGAGTGTAGATCTGGAAACAGAAGGCAGAGCAAAGACACAACCCCCAAAAGGAAATGGCTATACCCTTAAAACATAATATAGATCTGGCATGCGCTTCTTGTATGGCAACCACACTTCCATGATTGTGTGTGGAGTGGTATGGAAAGCCCCCACAATTTGTAAAGCACTTCTCGACCGTGAAAGGTGCAATATAAATATAACTTAATGCATGTTACTGCTCTGCCAAAAAAAAGATGGCAAATGTGTTTGAACAGGAGGCGGATGGTCAGCCGGCACTGATTGTGTCTGTTGTTTTAGAAGCTGAAGAGAGCTCTCCATAAGACCACAATGAGGTGGCAGAGCAGGACCACCCTGAAACAGGACCTGGGGGCAGCAGCAGCAAGAGCACAATCGCCCACTGCATACTTCAAAAGATAAAGATAAAACCAACTAAATGGCTTTGCAGCTCTCTGATTGGCTATCTGTTTGCACATGTCTCTCTTGTATTTGAATTAAAATATGGACAATGCTAACACAGACTGTATACAGCTGGACGATGCTAACACAGACTGTATACAGATGGACAATGCTAACACAGACTATATACAGATGCTAATGCTAACACAGACTGTATACAGATGCTAATGCTAACACAGACTGTATACAGCTGGACGATGCTAACACAGACTGTATACAGATGGACAATGCTAACACAGACTATATACAGATGCTAATGCTAACACAGACTGTATACAGATGCTAATGCTAACACAGACTGTATACAGATGCTAATGCTAACACAGACTGTATACAGATGCTAATGCTAACACAGACTGTATACAGATGGACAATGCTAACACAGACTGTATACAGATGCTAATGCTAACACAGACTGTATACAGATGGACAATGCTAACACAGACTATATACAGATGCTAATGCTAACACAGACTGTATACAGATGGACAATGCTAACACAGACTATATACAGATGCTAATGCTAACACAGACTGTATACAGATGGACAATGCTAACACAGACTATATACAGATGCTAATGCTAACACAGACTGTATACAGATGCTAATGCTAACACAGACTGTATACAGATGCTAATGCTAACACAGACTGTATACAGATGCTAATGCTAACACAGACTGTATACAGATGCTAATGCTAACACAGACTGTATACAGATGCTAATGCTAACACAGACTGTATACAGATGCTAATGCTAACACAGACTATATACAGATGCTAATGCTAACACAGACTGTATACAGATGCTAATGCTAACACAGACTGTATACAGATGCTAATGCTAACACAGACTGTATACAGATGCTAATGCTAACACAGACTGTATACAGATGCTAATGCTAACACAGACTGTATACAGATGCTAATGCTAACACAGACTGTATACAGATGCTAATGCTAACACAGACTGTATACAGATGCTAATGCTAACACAGACTGTATACAGATGCTAATGCTAACACAGACTGTATACAGATGCTAATGCTAACACAGACTGTATACAGATGCTAATGCTAACACAGACTGTATACAGATGCTAATGCTAACACAGACTGTATACAGATGCAATGCAACACGACTGTATACAGATGCTAATGCTAACACAGACTGTATACAGATGCTAATGCTAACACAGACTGTATACAGATGCTAATGCTAACACAGACTGTATACAGATGCTAATGCTAACACAGACTGTATACAGATGGACAATGCTAACACAGACTATATACAGATGCTAATGCTAACACAGACTGTATACAGATGCTAATGCTAACACAGACTGTATACAGCTGTTCAGAAAAGGTCATTGGTGATGTGACCGGTTATCTGGAGACACATTTATAATTTATAGATGTAATTTAAAATGCAAATATTAAATACAGACCATTTAAAGCTCTAGAGTAACAATTTAAATAAAAAAAAAATTGTGCAGCCCTAAATCAGAACAGCAGTCGTCTCGGACAAACATAGAAATGCAATAATAACAAACACATTGGAGCCATTTGTTTAATAGGAAGCGTGATGCCCACTGACCATAAATGTGAATAAAGGTCCATAAATGTCCTTGTACAAACATCTACATAGAGCTAATGTTTTTATAATG